ACACTCGACACCAGCTGACCGTCCTCCTTCTGGGAGCTGCAAGTGACATTGTCTTCCTCTTTTACCTCCTACTCTTCTCTTCACCCCTCCCTGCTTCTGCTTCCTTACATCCATCCTGCTGCTCCTCCTCCGTATATTCCCCCATTTTTTTCCTTGTCCTTTTTGATTTCTCTGGCATCTCCTCCTTCCCTCCTAATCTTCTCCTTCCTCCTTATCCTGCTTCTTGCCCCCTGACAGGAGATCAAGAAGCTGAAGGAGCTGATGAGTGTCACGGAGAAGATCCGGCGGGAGAAATGGATTGATGAGAAAACCAAGAAGATCAAAGAGATCACAGTCAAAGGTAAAACCGACGTGCGCCTCCCTGCCTGCCCCCGTATTTGTCCCTTGCCTATTATTTCTCATCCTCGGCTTCCTTCTCCTCCTGCTGGCCAGGCTTGGAGCCCGACATCCAGAAGCTGATCTCCAAGCACAAGCAGGAGCTGAAGAAGCTGCGCACGCTCCACGAGGCCGAGCTGCTGCACGCGCACGAGCAGGGGGCCGAGCGCTGCGCTCGACAGTGCGAGGAGCTGCGGAGGCAGCTGGAGAACGAGAAGGAGGAGCAGTGCCGCAGGGAGCGAGACTTGGCCCGCCGCAAGTTTGAGAAGCAGCTCCAGGAGGAGGAGCTCTCCCTGCAGCAGCACAGAAAGCGCATCCACAAGGAGGTGGCCGACGAGAAGGAGCGGTTGGCGCAGCTGGCAGCCAGGTACGACCTGAGCGCGGGTGGCCGGCGGGTTGAAACAGAGGCGGCTGCTTTCAAAGACCTTCGCCGTCCTTCCGTCGTGTGCAGGCAGCACTCGGAGATGGAGGAGTTGCGTCGGCGCATGGAAGAGAACTCCTGCATGGCCGGACGAGTTTTCAGGGAGGAGCTGGACAAAACCAGAGAGGAGCAGGAAAGGAGACACCAGGTGGGGGATCATCAGCTTCCACCAGATTTTAAATTTTTTTTATTTATTATTTTTTTTAAAGCTCTTCAAAACACATTCTCACGACATTACCCGTTTGGTAGTGACACACAGTCAGGTGGTTAATGCAACTGACAAGCTGTTGTCAATCACCCGACTTGCTACCTTGACACCAATGACTGTTTTTGCATTAGAGGGGATTTGGCGCCGCCTTGTGGCCACTTGGCACATTTTATCGAGCGCACAAAAAATTGAGTTAGAAACGCATCATACAAGTGGAAGCGAATTTGAGCATTTCGCATGTACCGGTACTTGATTGTGTCCTCAGGCGGAGCTGACGAAGCTGCAGGAGCGTTTTGACCAGGAAAAGATGAGCTGGGAGGAGGAATACAGGAAGAAACAGGTGAGACGGACGGACGGTCGGAAGCAGCGCCCATCTGGACCGCCGCGCTGGCCCATGCACGTGAAATGCGACGGTGCACCGCTTGCCGATGACACGTTTTGGCGCTTAGGAGGCGGGGCTCCTGAGACACGAGCGCCAGCTGCGAGAGGAGCTGCGGCAGGAGCGCGACAAGGAGATCCAGCTCGCCATCTGGACGCTGGAGGAGGAGACCAGCAAGGACAAGGAGGAGAGCGAACGGGCCGCACAAAACAGGTAGCCATGTTACGGGATTTCCGCTTGCAGCCATGATCTTATTGCGAGCGGCGTACGTCAGCCGTTTGCCAGACATGCTGAGAATGTTTTTTGTTGGTCAGGGTGAATCGCGTGCGGGAGGCGTACGAGGTGGAGCTGAAGGAGTTGGAGCGTTCCCTGAGGGAGTCCCTGGACAAGCAGCAGGAGCTGAGGAAACATCACATGGACGCGGTGCAACAAGTCGACGCGCTCAAGGATGCGCTGCGCCGCAAGGAGGAAGACCTGCTCATCGTCACGCAGGTGAGAAATGACATCGCGTCGCCTCGTGTGGCATGCCAGAACATTTTGTGACATGTTGACGATATCATGCGGCATATGAATTCACACGACGTTGCGTGACATCACACGTCGTCGCTCGCCACCGCGGCTCAGCCTTTTGTTTTTGCGCCACGTTGGTGTGTTGAGAACCGGGACCAACTCCTGGAGGAGCGCCACGGGCTGGCCTCGGTGATCCAGCAGGAGTTCGACGCGCGCCTGCTGCTGGCCGAGGAGGAGGCGCAGAGGGCCAGGGTGGAGGCGGAGGAGGTGCGCGTCACGCTGCAGGCGGAGGTGGACAGGATCAGCAAGGAGAAGGAAGACGAGCTCCACGAAGTGCACCAGCGGTAGGCAACCTAAGTCTTTGCTTGTGTTGAGAATCTCTGCCACGGGCCCACTTCCGTTGCGATGCTCACGGATGGCATCACCTTCAGAGTCAAGGCGGCCATCTTGAAGAAAGACGAGGCGGTCAACGCTCTGCGGAGGCAGCACGAGGTGAGTGGCGTGAGCAGGACGCCATCTGCCGTTTGGCTGACGGCGGGCGGGAGTCAAACGCCGTCCCTTTGCTGTCGTCCGATAGGCTGCTCTGAAGAGGGCGGAGCACCTGGAGGCCTTGTGGGAGGAGCAAAGGAGGCAGCTGATGGAGAAATGACCTCAAGACCGCACTCTGAAGTACTCACTCGCACCTTCACATGAACGTTTCTAGTGTGTTGTGGGTCTTTTTTTTTTTTTTCCTTAAATGGACATCATGGAAAGAAACCAGACATGCTCCTTTTCCATGTTTTTCATGCAGCAGGTAAATCCACTTGTTGCGGATCATCTCACCGCTTTGCCGTTTTGTGCCGATGACTGACATTGATGTCAAACTGCCTTCAGGTTCGCATTGCGAACGTCACCGCTGGCCTCTTTTCTGTTTGGTCACCTGACCTTTGAAATGCGAGCCCAAGGGCACTTTGACCTCAATTTCAGTTGAAAGTGGAGGGTAGTGGAAGGCCAAAATGGCCGCCACCTGAGTTGGATGAAAATCGTGCTGCTTGATTCTTATTCCACAAAGGCAATTTTCATCAGAATACCATGTTTGGACTCGGTGTAACGGAAGGTGACCTGAAGTCGTATCTGTGAACTCACAAGTGACAGGAAGGATCAGCTCGAACAAACTGAACCCCCTTTCACACCCCCACACCACTTTCTGGCCCCTCCCACGACGGAGCAAGAATGTCTCAATGATCCTCAGATCTTTTCCAGATGTTTCTGTGACCAGCCCGGGCAGGCCTGCACCACTTAGGGTTGGGTGGAGCCGGGTTGTGTAATTTATAGTGACTCGTGTTTTGTTTCTGGGAAGCGGGCAGGAAAGTCTGTCGGATGTTCTCAAGAGAAAAAGAAGAAGAAGAGGACGTGTCAGGGTGGGCGATGTGTTTTGAGGTGGCCTGATTGCAGTGTGGATGCGCCAGCATGCACCGAGAACAATGTTCAGGAGGGGAAAAAAAGTTGGGGGGAGGGGTGCTCCCAGAGCACGTCAAGTCACGTGACCAAAACGAAGGACTAAACGGAAAAATGAAGGAAACCCGTGCTGATGTATCCATTTTCATTCCCTATTTATTGTGGTGGAAAAAGCTTTTGGACCTCCGGGGGGGCGAAATAACTTTTTTTTTTCTTTTTTTCAAAATGTGTTCAAGTAAAATCCATTGATACTTTTTCTACTCTGTCAAGTTATCAGATGTCTTGTACATAATAGAATATATGTACCACCCTTTTATTCCAGTGAAATGTGCTCAACAATAAATGTTAGCGAGACGAATGTCACGCTGTCCGTTCACAAGCCTGGGTCTGTTCTTACAGATATTGGACAGATAGGAATCTAAGCTCAAGCGAACTCCAACGTCATTTCATCTGCTTCGAACTTCCTTTAAGCTATCTGTAAAGGGAGAATCTTAACCCAGACTGGAATTTGAACACTGCCACAAAGTACTTCTGAGCTGCCCTTTGCTGCCTCCAACAGGACAAAGCGGGACATCAAGGGGTGGGGGGGGGGGCGGAACAAAGTATTGCGAGTCTTGTGACCCACTTTGCTCCAGAGCTTGTCTTCCTCTTTCAGCGCATTTTGCTTTCTGCCGATGAAAGCCAAGGTGGCTGGCGGGCCTCGGCGCCACACCGCGCCGCACGCAAACAAAAGAGCCCCTGTCGCCGCCTGCGGGTTCTGATCTCAAATCCAAAGAATCGTGAGGAGACACTTTGACCCCCTCCCCCAAGGACGACTTGACATGCGTGGCAAGAAGCCAAGCAGTCGACGTGCACAGAAAGACGCGCAGGCAGGGCCCATACGCGGAAGTCACGTCATCAAAAGTTGTTGCCTTCATTTGGAGCTTTGGCCACAAAAAGTGATCATAAATATCACGTTTTAGTATCATCAACTCGTATCTCAAGATTTAATTTATTTGCTGTTAATAGTGCCTAACAATTTTACATTTAGGTTAAAAAAAATGTACTCGCAGACGTGTACTCCACGAGTTACATTTGTATTAGTTATATATGACAGCATTGGAAAATGTCCACGAATGTTATCAATGCCAAAAAAACGATTCAACGATTGCTTATTTGTTCCAGAAATGTATTTGGAATTGTTGTCCATCCGCCTTTTAACCTTTGTTGATTTTGTGAGCAGTCCCTTCTGCCCCTGAGCTCAACCCCTGCTTATCTGAGAACGACCTGAGAAGCGCGCCCCCCTCCTCCCCTGATGTTGTCAAGCACGACAAGCGGGCCTGAGGTTGCCGGCTTCAAAACACCGGCGACAGAAGCACGCCCGCTGCGCTGCCATTGGCTTCAAATTGCCTTCTCTCCCCCTCTCCTTCCGTGCCGGAGCGGGAGAGGGCCCCCCCCCCCGGGGCTGCTGCCAGCAGCTGTTGCTCTCTCATTGTGGCCCCACCCTACAGGACCAGGAACGCCTCCCCGCCCCCCTCGAGTAGGCGGTCCTGGCAGCAGCTGAGTGTCGTTGAGTGCCTCCAACTCCTCAAAGCGTCTCCCAAGTCCTCGAAAAGCTTGGCTCAGGGACCACCGAGGACCGGCAGGACCAGGTGAGGCCTTTTCACAACACCCCCCTGCCCCCTCCCCTCCCACCAAAAACAAGCCCACTCCAACTCCACTAGAATCATGATTTAGAATCGTGTGAGTATCCCGACTGCAATCAGTTTGGAATCCTGAAGGAGTTGTGGTTCCAATCACGTTCAAAATGTTGATTGTTGAAGTCGCGGGTAAGAATCGTGTCGGATTTGTGCTTGGACTCCCTGTTATTATCCGTTTGTCAGAATTTTTAGGAATCATGTTGAAATTGTCGGACACGTGAAAGAATCTTGCTTAGATTCCCGATCATTCTCCGCTTGTCATCGTGGTTCGAATGCGATCGGGCTCGTGGATAGAAACATGTTGGAATTGGATTGCAGTAAGAGTTGGAAGGGTGTTGCTTTCATCCTGACAATCCTGCTCAATTGCTGGTTGGGAAGCGCGACAACGTAAGCACCCCCCCCTTTCTCCCGCCCACAAAAAACAAAAGCTGAGGTAGACCGCACAGGAAGATCACTCACTTGTGTCTACATTTTGGTGTGAGTTGTCCATTGGGTGCCATTTTGAGTTTTATCCGCAAGTCTGGGGGGGAGGTGGCATTGTTCACATTTGCAATCCCCTCCCCACATTACTTTATTGTCCACTCAAACGGTGGTGGAGGAAGGGGGCCGGGGGGGTGGTATCAGTGACAGGCAGGCTCTGTGTCACTTTACGACTCTCACCAGGCCCCGGTGACGCACACGAGTAAGAAAGTTGACACTTGTCAGAGTTGTTAAAAAAAAAAAAAACAGTTGGATCCAGCTTTGAGGTCATGTCGCGTTCAGGGTTGGAATCCGCTTGGGTTCACTTTACAATCTTTGTTGGATTTGTGTGTGAGTCAGGTTGTCATCAATCCGATTGTAATCCTTGTTTTTTTTGTCTGTGGGTGTGTGTGTGTGCTCATCGCCACCCCTGCAACCTTTTCTCACGGCCGTTTGCCAATGCCGTTGCCGTGTCTTATATGCGCTTCGCTAAGCAACAGGAAGTCAAGCTGCCCAAACAGGAAGTAGATAACGGATGCAGGGAGCGACAACACGTGGCTTACTCCGATGTTGCTTTGAAAGGGCGCGCGCGGCCAAATGTGCCAAATAGTCAAGCGTCTGGACTGCGCTGTCGTGTCCAAGCCGGAAGGTAAGCAGAGCTGCGAGTGTTGGCGCAGATTCGCTTTAGCCATCAGATTGTGATGTCATCACCTTTTGGCCGAGTTGTGCGCCGATGAAACACTGCGACCACCAGTCCACTGTTTGTCTATACGTCTTAACTTTTTCTTTTTCTCTCCAGAGAATTCTGACAGATCCTGAACTTTCTTCATCTCCCCCCGCATCACACACACATCACCTGATGCGCCCTCAGTGGAAGCGGGGGGCCAGTGAAGCCCCCAGCAGCGGCAGCTCCTGAGTGAGCGTGGCTCCCCCACTCTCCCCACTGCTCCAACCGACCCTTCCGCGCCGCCGGGGATGTCGGCGCCGAGGCGGCTGGCCCTGGCAGCCATCACCGCAGCCTCCGTGCTGTGTGTCTACTTCCTGTCCGGGAACCTGGAGACCTCCCTGGCGCTGTCCTGGGCCCACCTCGGATCACCGTGGAGGTCAGTCACACAATCACCATGGAGACGAGCCAACGTTGAGATTTAAAGTTTTAATTGCAATAGATCAAAAGATGAAATGCTGAAATAACTTTGTTTGGACAAAATTTAGTCAATTTATTTTGGTGAAATTATTTGAAAAGAAAAAAAAAAATTGTTGCGCAATGAAGACTACGGGAGTCTTGATAACGAAAACTGCTCGGTGGGCACGTGTAGATTCTCCTCACAATGTCATCGTCGTGCGCCACCAGCAGACCGCCTCACAGACATCTGCTCTTCCGCAGCGACCCGCGTCTCCATGGCAACCGGAGCAACCCCGTCCCCTCGCCGGCGGCCCGTCCCGGGACGACGACACCGCCGCCGGCCGCTAACGTGACCCGGCACAAAAAAAATTCCGGGAAGCCCACTGAGCCCCCCTTCATCGGGGACGCCTACGCCAGTGAAAATGTCGCGCCGCAAACCGTGAGTGGAGCGCAAAACTCATCGGAATGCTACCGAATCATTTTAGAATCATGTGGGATTCAAAGTTCGAAGCTGCTTTGAAATCATGTGCCCTGCATTGTTCAAGTGACCTTTGGAACAATGTCGTGAGCAGTTGTCCTCCCATCGGCTCAACGCGTGACTCGCTGTGCGCAGGACTGCCCCGACGGCATCGGAAGCCGCGTCGCCAAGTCGGACGTGTCCGAGCTGTTCCTGAAGAGCGTTCCGGTGCTGCAGTGGTCCAAACACGTCACGGCCGCCGAATACCGTCGCCTCCGTCCGTACGTGGGCGCAAACGGCTGGGGGAGCCTCACCTATCAAAGTCGGTACCCACACGACCATTTCCCATGTCTCAAGCAGCGTTTTGCCAACTTTCACGAGCCGGAGCACATTTTTTTGGACGCTCCGAAAACCTCTTGCCGTGCCGCCAAACTCAAATATCGCAAAAGGCAGAAATGGTGATCATAAAACATATCATACATCAGCTTTCGGGAGTTCATTTGAAATGAATTTTTGGGGTTGCTGATTATTTTGGGAGCAATTCCACTGTTGGCCACTAGATGGCGACACTATTTAGTCTGACAGGAAATATTTCAAGCGCAGCTGTTTTTTTTTTTTTTTGTGGGGGGTTGGGGGCGACAATATTAAATCCTCTTCAATCCTTTTTTTCGTTTGAATGAAGGGGGCGGGGGCTGGAGGAATTGGATGATTTGCTGCCGCGCACCTGATGATCTATTGAACATTTTTCCGGACAGTGCTGTCAGACACACTGTCGCTGCTCAACTCGTCCGCCAACGGCATCGTGTTGGACGACTGGGCGACTCGCCGCGACCCGTCCCGCTGCACCCGCTGCGCCGTGGTCGGGAACGGCGGCATCCTGAAGGGCTCCAAGATGGGGAAGGAGATTGACCAGCACCACTACGTCTTCAGGTGAGCTCATCTGACGTGGAATAAAAAAAACTACATTTTATGCACGTAAAACAAACTGTTTTCGCCTTGGTCCGAACATGACATCGAAGTCAAGTCACGTGACTGCAATCCCCGCCTCCGGTGGCATCAGGAAGCTTCTTTTGACGACAAAATTCAAAAGCTTCTGCGTTTAGCTTTGACTCGTGGTCGCCCCCTTTTGGTGATGACGTGCTTAAGGTTCTGAGTTGACGCTTTGCTCGCCTAGGACGAACGGTGCCATCCTGGCGGGCTTCGAGGAAGACGTGGGGGTGCGCACCACCCACTACACCTTCTCCACCAACACGCTGATGAACTCCATGATGAACTACGCCTCCGCCGGCTACCGAGGGCCGCCTCAGTCTCAGGTGAGCCACACGCTCTGCCGCCCGCTCAAGGAGGACGTGCCTTGACGCGATCGCGGTCACGTCGCACCCCCGGACAGGAAACGCGCTACGTCTTCCTGCCCGACCACGACCGCGACTACCTGCTGATGAAGGCGGCGGCCCAGCGCACCCTCGTTGAGCAAGGACGCGACCGAGGCAAAGAGTCAGTACCACCTTTTGGGCATGACGCTCTTGTGTTTGGAATCAGCCGCTCGTTGGCCGCTTCCCAGGCACCAGAAAGTGATGCCTTGATGCATTCTCAATGACCCCCCTCCCCCCCTGCATCGTGATGTCATTATTATCACGTCATGTTTTCCTCTCAGTCCGACCACGTACTTTGGGAAGGACGTGACTGCGGCCAAGCTGAAGATGTACCATCCCGACTTCATTCGCTACCTCAGAAACAGGTGAGGGAGCCCCGACCCCTCCTCCCCTCGATCACCACGGCAACCAACCCCCCCTCCCCTGAGTGAGCGTGACCATGTTTTCCTTCAGGTTCCTTCCGTCCAAAACCCTGAAAACCAAATACAAGAGCATCTACCGGCCGTCGACCGGCGCCGTCATGCTGCTGGCGGCGCTGCACAGCTGCGACCGCGTCAGCGCCTACGGCTTCATGACGCCACAATACAAAAAGTACTCGGACCACTACTATGACACGAAGTACCACCCGGTGGGATTCTTCGTTAACCACGACTTGATGTTGGAGATGAACCTGTGGCAGCGGCTGCACCGAGCCGGCCTCATCGCACTTTACATGCGCTCGTGAGCCACTCCTGGGTTTTCTCCCGGACGCTCTTCAACGCCCGGCGAATACCCGCCGGTGCTCCTCAACATTACCGAGCGGCTTTTTCGAAGCTCCTGAACGCATCTCAATGACTGCTTCTGAAATTTACCGGACACCCTTCAAGTCGCTCGGTGCTCTTCTTCTGAACGGGCGTCAACGCACCCGACTGAATGCTCCCGAACGATCCTTGACGCTCCGTCATGCCCTTGAACAACTGAATTCTTCTGAGTATCCTTGAACATTTCTGACCACTCCTGAATGCCCTTGAACGCACCCGAGTGAATGAAACATTCCTTCACGCCCCTTCACGCTCTTGAACGCAACCTTAATGAATACTTCTCAGCGGCCCTGAACGTTTCGGAACACGCTCAACAATGCCCCCGGATGCTCTTAAAGGCGCCGATTGAATTTTTCTGAGTGCCCCTGAACATTTCTGACCGCTGCTGAACGTTCCCGTACACTGTTGAACGCACCTGGGCGAATGCTACGGAGCGCTCCTCAACCTTTTTTTGAACACTCCTGAGTGCGCCGTAATAATCCTGAGCACTCTTGAATCCCCCCTGATGTTGTTGTTTATTTATTCTCAGCGCATTTGCACGTCCTCAACCACTCGTTTTGGGCCAGCGGACAGCTCTTGCCGAAGGAGAGGCACGAGTTTCCTCGAGCGAAGCTACTTAGCCAACGTGCTAATCTGAACCTTTCATTGTGCCCTGGCCATCTCAAATTCTGCTGTTGGCGGGTTCCTCGTCGATGGAACCGCAAGCAAAAAGCAGCCTGCTGAGCGAGCCCGACAGTGTGCTGGGCCGGTCGCCGTAGCAACCAGCAACTGGACTCCCCTGTTGCTAGGGTAGCAGCAGATTGGAACGCTCGCAACGAAATAGCCTCCTGCATTCCCACAATGGGTTTTCTCCCGTAAAGAAACTTGTTGAACAACTTTTTTTTTTTTTGTTTGTTTCTTTCTTGTTCAGACATTTTGGTTTTGAACATGTTTTCTTCTGAGGCATGTCGTTTTCTGTTTACACTTGTTTTTGAAAAAACGGTTTCTTTCTTGACATGTCAAAAGAAACCTGTTAATAAGCCAACTCTTTAATCTTTGAAAACATTGTTTTTCTTTTGGGACATGGTTTTAAGTTATTTCCTTTTAGGTATGATTTTCTTGTTTGATATTTTTTTAAACGTATTTGTTTTATGTCTAAAAACAAATCTGTTTAGACACCTGCTTTAGTCTTGCTGATTTTAGACATACATTTCCTTTTGAGTCCCCCAAGTGCCTTAACACATCGATGGCTGTGCAAGTCACGTGACCAAGCGACAGATATGAGGAACCAAACCAAAGTGACCTTTGTTGACTGTGACTGCCGTCGTCTCAGTGACTTATTACATTTTTAACGTTCCTGTTTTGGGTGTAATGTGTAATAAAAGCCGAAAAGCTTATCAACTGTGAAGGGAATGAGTAACCGAAAGCGCAGTACAAATGCTTCTGAATTGAGCATGTGACTCGTTGTCAGAGTAGATGGAACAAAAGAAGTGGAAGTAGTGAATGATAAGACGCAAACTTGGAAAATCTTGACTCAAAAACCATGTCATGTTTTTGAAAGAGACATACAGTTTTATAGCAAATAAACATCACCGGTTCTTGGGGAAAAAAAAAGTGGGAAATGAAACCACCAAGTCGATTTTAGTCGAGTCGTTTTATGGTCATCATTTTTCCAAGTGATCTGAAAAAGAAATTTATGAAAATGCGTCTGAGAATAAAACCGTGGTTACAATTCCAGAAAGTACTTCGGGGCGAAGCACAATCATGTCAAATTCAAAAGGTAAGTGGAGCTGCAATGTTAACACAGATATGTTTGACCCGTCGAGTGACACACCTCGACATTATTTGTATCATTGGGCGGCTTCGTGACAAAATGCTGAAACTAAAATTGGGGGACAGGTCTCAAGTGTAAGAATTCTGCTCGGAGAAGAAAATAATTCCATACGATGTCTTATTCAAAGTGCTTTGCATGAATCGTTTGTGCGTTCTTCACTAGGCCGCCATCTAGCGGTGACTGCAGCTCAGTGCACCTCTGCTGCTGTTTTGCCTCCTTTTACGCTTACGAAATGATTTTTTTGCATGTGTGTGTGTGTATGATTTCATCCTAGTTTTGGTTTCCTGTGGCGGAGACAGGAAGTCCATATTTATCCGTATTTTTGACACTGTGGACTGTAACTTTGCTGCTCTCAATCGGTCGCCACAAGCAGTGCAGCCTTCAAGTGCCTGTCGACGACTTTTCCCATGATGCTTCTGTGCGCTTGCCAGCCGGATGGAGACCTTCAAATCAAAGTTTGACGAGGACGACTGAAAACAGGTAGCACCCGTCCGTCATGAGCATTTGCCACTGACCCAACAACGTGTTCTTTGACGACACCAAAGAGGAAGTATGAGTGAGCTGTGTGAACGTTGCACAAATGTGCTTCTGTGTGCGTGTTTAAGAATGCACATTACTGCTTTTGTGTGCGCAGGGCCGGTGCTATGTGGTGGGTTATGGGGGTGGCCACATCTCGGGGGAAAATTTTTGATTTTTACGGCTCTTTTCACAGGTCTGTGGTGTTCTTTGATCCCTCCATAATATGCCACAATTTTTATATTCGGAGATTTTTGTTTCACTGTGATCTTTAGACTGGATGATTTTGCAGCATGCAAGATGGTGTCGGCCGCCGGTGAACATTTGATCACTGTGATTGGCGGTTAGCGAGCGAGTCAGCGCATATGAGAGAGAAGTTGGCTTTGAGATAACGCACACAAGCAAAGCAATTGAGAGTAGATAGGCATGGTGGAGTAAATGAAGCTTGCATGATTTAAAAAGAAAAAAAAAAAGCCGCCTCAGTTACGGAGGGGAAGTACATGGCCGCCCCTCAGTGAAACGTTGGCTCACGCTGGCCTCCCCACTTCAAAATTTCTGGCTACGTCCCGATGTGTCTGAGTGTGCCTACGCGTGTCCACAGGGGTGTGTGTATGCATGCGTCTCAGCGCATGCGCATGAATGCCCCCCCAGCATAACCCCTCCGCCCCTCCCCCTCAGCATTAGCGAGCAAGATGGCGCTCTCGCAAGCAGCACCGCGGACAGCACCAGCAGCCTCCCCCCCTCCTCCCCCTACTCGACACCAATGGACCAACGAAGCCATCTCTGGAACCTTCTTGACTCCTTTGAAGCTTTTTTCCTTCCTGGAGATGGACGCGCAAATCCGCAGCTGGCCGGGCTCGCTTCGGAAAGGATGAAGATGAGGATGAGGGAAGAGTGATGATGGAGATGAAGATGAAGAAGATGCTGATGATGCTGACGTGTGCCGCGCTTTGGCCCCGCGCCGCCGCCATAGGCACAGGTGAGAAAAACATTCCAGCACTGGGGTTCCATTTCGGATTGTGTGTGTATGTGTGTGCGCGCGCACGCGTTCACGTGAGCGCCTCCTTGCCGTCATACTCGCACGTGCGGAGCGCCATGAAGTTAATTAATCATTTGTCATCTTCATTAAGAGCTAATCGTCCATCCGCTGTCTCGGTCTTACGCAATAAAGTGTTGCGGCCTGTTGCCATGGCAACCGCGGCTCCAGATTCTTGCTGAAGGAGCAGAAAAAAAACATTGCGATATAACATTTCTAATTTTAGCATCCTGTCAATCACCCGATGATGACATCATCGTGTGATGTTGTCATCCCGTCACACGATTGAACATGGTCAGCTTGATCGCGTTGGTCAAGTGAATTTGTTAGCTTACTCAGCAAACCTGGAATGTAACATTTTGATGCTAGCGTTGCATTTTCAGGCTTTTGTTGCAGCAGCGGAACGCTAAGATCACATTTGAGTGTTAACATATCGCTCGCATTGAAAAGTTAGTCTCAAATGCGGGCATCACGTTTTGATGCTTGTTGAGTAGTCGCGTCGTCGGGGCTAATGCCACATTTCACGCTAATATAGCTTTCTAAGCTCACAGAATGCGAGTCAAGAAAAATCTCGACAGGATGTTGGCACGGATACGTGACATTACCTTTAAAAATGTGCTGCTGCTTTTAAAATCTCATGTCAGCGGCAAATTAAAATTCGCGATGAAATTTGACGAAAGGCCCATAACGTCGGTGGGGAAAAGTCGGCAAAGTTTGTCGATGTGGAAGTGTCTGTATTGTCGTGCGCACAATTCACATTATAAATGATTGATTGTTATGAAGAAATTCATATCGGCGGGCTAAAAATAGACGTTGCTCGCATGCTTGTCCCAGCAAAACACAGCAAAGGGAGGGCACGTGGTCACATGATGACTCGAATAGAATCCTCTAGCTTAGCCACGCCTAGCTTCATTTATGTTGCAGTCGGGCCCCCAGGAGTGAAGCAGAGTTTGTGCCAGACAAGCAAAGTTGCGATGCTCGGCGAGTAAACACAGAGCAGAAGGCCGGAGTAAGTAGCGGCCCGTTTCCGTGGCAACCGCATCCTCCAGCGGATGATCCAAGAACATTCCGCCTCGACGGGAAGACTACAAAAGTGAACCAAGATCACGAGGGCGAGCGCCGTGCCCTCGTTTTGACGCCGAGGCGCGCCGGCGCGTGGAAAAGGAAACGTGCACCACAGCGCGTGCCGTGCCTTCAGACGCACATGTGACATCACACATGCATGCGCAGCTCTTACGTAACACGTCCACACACAGACGCACATCCAACTGGTGCACAAAAACGCACTTGCACACCCCGAGAGCGCTCACACAGACCCCCCCATTCCGCCTCGACGGGAAGACTACAAAAGTGAACCAAGATCACGAGGGCGAGCGCCGTGCCCTCGTTTTGACGCCGAGGCGCGCCGGCGCGTGGAAAAGGAAACGTGCACCACAGCGCGTGCCGTGCCTTCAGACGCACATGTGACATCACACATGCATGCGCAGCTCTTACGTAACACGTCCACACACAGACGCACATCCAACTGGTGCACAAAAACGCACTTGCACACCCCGAGAGCGCTCACACAGACCC